ATCTGCAGAGAAAGAGATAAAGCATGGGTGGAGATTTTCGGACATGCCTCGTGACTCATCATTTTATGTTTTCTTGTTTGCAATTGTCTGTTTATTTCGTAAACTGATGAAGGCTTTTAACCGCAACGTCAAATTTTGTCATGCATGGGATTGTGGATCTGACTAGTTCTGTTTCTCGTTTGGACTGACATTTTTTCAGCCTGAATGCCATTTGGCGGGACGCATATTCATTAGTCATTGTTCATCTTCGTCGCACATGGGACAGGGCCATAAGTGCTCCGATCTTCTCCTGAGATTGTCTCTTAAGTGTTTTAGGCTAACCTCCTATTCTGTTCTGGCTGATGTAACGAGTAACGACGGGTGGCGCCCGCATGGTTTTCATGTTTCGCTGCTCCAATTAGTACACACAGGGTATGCAGTCTATTCACCGAAGGTTAGTTGCGTATCCTTTACAGGACGTTGCAGAACCAACCCCAACCGCCCCTGGCTGTTGTGCGGTTTCACTAGGCAAATTTACGTCTAGTAGTTTGCCATTGCCTCTGGACGGTCGGCTCCCTGATACCACTGTCGAAACCAACACAGCTGGGATCGAACCCGATACCCCGGCATTAGGAAGCGTTCGCATCGACTTAGCCACAGAGCCGACTATTCGCCGAAGTGTCATTTTGAAAAAAGGGCGTCTGCTCTTTCATTACTTTTTACACCAGCATTCCCTGGGACAAAAATAAAGGGGATAGTTGCGAATTGCTGCGTGCTACATCGGATGGATCCACTGTTTCCGTATGTACCCCAGCTTGACAGCAAACATGCATTGGTGAATTCATGAGTCTTTAGCCATTCTAGAGCCTTTGTCACAGCTATGACCACCATTTCCATGATGATAAACACATGATGATAGTTGAGCTGAAAACGGCGAGTAGCGGCCTGTGACAGTTGTAGCAGTCAAGTATCTAAACCTTTCTGGTTGCAGACGTGCGGAGAAAGCCAGGTCCACCGATACAACAGGTATATTCTTCGTGTTTATTAAACATTCTGCGCCTATCTAACTAATATCCGTGGAATCCATTATTAGCACAAACACATTACGCGTTGATATTAATAAATATATTATTAGAATAAATGGGCTTTTAGACAGACAAGCACCTGCAACAAAGCCAAGGCAGAATCTTCACGATGATGTCAGATGTAAACAAAAGTAAAAGGTAAACAGCCGTGGATAAAACTAAACTATCATAGGATGATTACATTGTAACTTTAAATATCCCTAAAGATATATAATAAAATATGATTATTAACATTATTTAGAAAAGTATACTTAAAATATATTACACCTATTTGTACTCTTACATTATGTTTAATTAAAATACAATCTGCGCAATCATTAATTAATTTAGAGACGGAGCTTTATTTTATTTGGAGTTTCAGTGCCAAAAAGGCGAAGCCTTCCTGGGGCGTTTCTCTTGGTTTACACACAGAACATTATAAAAAAGTAAAGTGTTTAATTAACATATACAAATATATATATAGGCTATCCTCCCAATAACGGTCTTAAACTATCAAGGCTGAAAATGTACCCTAACAGGGCCTCAGTCACATGTCAATTGTGGTGACTTCCAGGGACTATACCGCCACCACCATATTGCAGTCTTCCGGAGACTATACCACCACCGCTGAAAGTATCTCCCACGCCACTATGCACAGCATGGATTGGGGCTACACTAGATGGCTGGGACTCACGAGCAAATAAAATGAAGGAAGCTGCAGGAGATGCGGTAGCTGCTGCTCGTGAGTCCAGCCATCTAGTTTAGCCCCAATCCGTGCCGCACGCAGCGGCAGGGGAGATACTCCCAATGGTGGCGGAAGTCACCGGAAGTGCGCAATTGACATGTGACTGAGGCCCTGTTAGGGTATATTTTCTAACTTGGGACCATTAATCTGAGGATAGCCTATATGTATATATATATTGGTTTAAGAAATCAAATGAACTAACAGTCTTTATGAATCTGACTGATATCGCAACATTTATTCAAATAAGGTATCAAATTTGCATATTTATGCATGCATTTGTTTAGTTACTTAGGTCATACATGACTAATTTGAAAAATGTGGCTAAATTTTCGGATGAAGGAAGCCTGAATAAGTTTTAAGAAGACAGACCCATGCCACCCACCTTGCCCCAGAAACCTTTGGCACATAGTTTGCTTCTTTTCCTGCCTACTCCTATAGTTTGATTTCTATGACTCAAGTCATTTTCACCATTGTCGGGCACAGGTAACCCCTCACAAAATCGATGTAAAATTACAGAACCTGACACACTTTCACAAAAGCCATTACTGAACAGCCTTCATGTGCAAGAAAGGGGAGAAGTAATCTGGTTAGCTGGTATTAAGACCAGCCAGCCAATCTCAAGGCTTATATTACCGGGCCAACAGATTGGCCCAGCCGTATTTTTGGCTATTTTGTTGTTGGGCCGATAGATCAGCCCTTTCGTCCCCAAAGAGTTAATATTATAATAATTGGTTACTAATTGATAAGCATAAATATGCAGCATCCGAAATAAAAAAAAAAAATTAAAAGTATATCCTAGTTATAACCCAAATAGGTTTAACAAAAAACATCTGTTGTGAGTGTGATCTGGGCGATACAGGACAAGCTACAATTTCACAGTGCTCCCTGGAAAAACTTGAAATCATTTGACAGCAATATTGAAGACCAGAACTGCATTTTATAATATCAAGAACAGCGTTATGTGCACAGAAATAACCCACTGGAGGTGGCTGGTAAGGGGTAAAGTGGGGGGGGGGGGGGGGGGGGTTGCTGCAGCTTCCTCACAGATTTTATGGGTAGAGGTTCCTCAGGTAGCCTAAGCATTGTTTAACTCTTTCAGACCCATGAATTTTAACAAGACTTGGGTCACATTAATTTCCCATTACAGAAATGGCAGGCGGATGGTGTTCAAAGAAAAACAGGTAGTTGAGAATATTTCTAATCCCTATGAAAATAATTTTAAATATATGTATTTATATATAAAGAGGAATGAAGGCACATTTTTAGTTATGAGTTAGATTATCTTCACAACACTCCTGACACATCCATGGTTGCTCAGATTCCCCTCTCAACATATTCATCAGAGTCATGCTGTTAATAGTACCAGTCCTATGTTGGTTAACTAGACTTTGTGTGTGTCCGGTGTGCTTCTCATACTTGGCTGAACTGATCTTTACTCCCAGATCGCGTATTCTTAGCAGTGATGTGGATGCGTTGCTTCCAAAATGCTCAGAATGTCCTATCTCTCTAAGGGCAATGACAATGTCTGCGTGATCCATGGGCCGGCCATCTTCACTTAATGCAGCACCTGCCAATCTATCAGCTTTCTCATTACCAAAAACACCTGCATGCCCTGGGACGAATATGAAAATAACTGCACACACAGGAGAATTTTGCAATGACTCAAGCACATTTTGAATGTGTTTTGTGTCATACTGTTATAGCTGGGGGGGGGGGGGGGGGGGGGGGGGGGGGAATTCAACAGGTGTTATGTTGACAGTTTTACCCAAAACAATTCTTCACTGACCATGGTTGTTCAGTCAGAAGAATATCCAAATTTGAGAATAACACTTTAAAATTTTAAAAAATGCTGATATTATCAATGCCCTCAGAGAAATGGGAAGGATAGAGGACTTTGGTGGCAGTGAATCCACATCACTCGCCAGAATGGCAGACTTGGGAATTAAGATCGGCACAGCAAAAAACGAGACGCACACCGGACACGTCAGAAGACTTGTTAATCAACATAGAACTGGTACTATTAGCCATCGGACGTTGGGGTTCATACTGAGGGGAGGATCTGAGCACCTATGGACATGTCCGGAGTGCAATGACGATAACCCAACTAACTAACTAACTAACTAACTTTAAAATTTGTTCAGTTCCCCAACTAATTCAAAAGTTATAATAGTTTCTGAGTTTGTTTGTCACTTAGAGGCTCTAGGTTCTGATAGAGTGCTGAGAAAATTTCAAAAAAAACAATAGACAAACAAATGGACCATTACTCAGAAAATATTGACTTTGTGCAGTTATAAACAGACTGTAGCTGCACTCATTTTAATACAACTTAGTAATGGTATGGTACTGTTTGAAACAATCTTTTAGATGCAAACGTTGGTGACTACGCAAATGAAATGAGTCATCCTAAAGACTGCTAGATTCTTTAAAAGATGACTGCTCAGCTGCCACTGGCGTAAATTTATCGACCAAATCAATTTCCACAAAATGTTTAAAAAAAATTGAATTGTCATTATCAGAATTAAAAACATCTGACTGAAACAATTTCTTAGCTTCAGCTGCAGAAAGGCACATTTTGCAGCTTATGTTCAAAACATGGCCATTTGAAGACAGAATCAGAAAATTCACTGTTCGAAATGACACAGGAAGTAAATCGGATCAATTTGTGCCTAAATTTGTAAATAAAAAACATTAGAGTAACCATCCCTGAATATTTTAAAGGCAGTGTCGAACATTAAAAATGAATATGGAACAGTATGCAAATTATTGTGTACAGGACACATGATTGAAGCAAACTGTGTGGTTTGATGAAATCGAAACTTCTCATTCAACACACACAGCATTTCTCAGGCCTGATAAAGTTAAGGGAATAATAATAATAATAATAATAATAATAATGTGCTACATGGTGAATAATCATAGAAAATAAAATTCAGAATAATATGAAATTTATAAACAAATACTTATTGTAGAACTTCTGTACTCGGTTATTGTGCTGATTAACCCCCTTACAGATTTTCTAGGGATGTGGGGTTCCAGCCTCAAGTTTCAGCACCCCTGGCAAAGATGACTTTCACATAGAACCTTTGTCACAGTATAACAGTATAACAGCAGTGTTATGTCTGCAGCTCTTACTTTGTTGACTGTTTCACAGCAATTATCTGTTCCTACTTTTCAGCGAAATCACACAGGGACAGTGAAACGTGATAGTGTTG